AAGGAGCTGCTACAAATATTTTTGTACATACAGGTCCTTTTCCCTTTTGTTTTTTATTTCTTTGGGGATACAGCCCTAGTAGTGGTATTGCTAGCTCAGAGGGCATGCACAGTTTATAGCCCTTTGGGCATAGTTCCAAATTGCTCTACAGAATGGTTAAATCAGTTCACAACTCCATCAACAATGCATTAATGTCTCATTTTCCCCACATCCCTTCCAACATTTGTCATTTGTCTTTTCTGTCCTATTAGCCAATCTAATTGGTAGGAACTCAATTGTTTTAATTTGCTTTTCTCCAGTCAATAGTGAGATAGAGTACTTTTTCAGATGCCTATGGATAGCTCTGATTACTTCATCTGAAAGCTGATCATATCTTTTGATCATTTATCAGTTGGGGAATGACTCATTCTTATAAATTTGACTCAGTTCTCTAAATGTTTGAGAAATAAGGCCTTTATCAGAGAAATTTGCTTCAAATTTTTTTCACAGTTACTATTGCTAACTATATTTCCCTCCATCCTATTCCCTCCCCCCTTTATTCTGTTCTCTCTCTCTTTTCACCCTGTCCCTCCTCAAAAGTGTTTCCCTTCTGACTACGCCCTCCCCCAATCTGCCCTCCCTTCTTCTTGTTGTTGTTGTTTTTGGTTGGGCGATGGGGTTAAGTGACTTGCCCAGGGTCACACAGCCGGTAAGTGTTAAGTGTCTGAGGTCACATTTGAACTCAGGTCCTCCTGAATCCAGGGCCAGTACTCTATCCACAGCGCCACCTAGCTGCCCTCAACATTTTTAAATACCTATGTCCCAGGCACAGGCAGCTAGGTAGCGCCGTAGGGCGCAGAGCGCCAGACCTAGAGTCAGGAAGACTCATCTTCATGAGTTTAAATCCATCCTCCGACACTTATTACGTAGGTGACCCTGGGCAAGTCACAACCCTGTGTGCCTCAGTTTCCTCACCTGTAAAATGAGCTGGAGAAGGAAATGGCGAACCACTCCAGTATCTCTGCCAAGGAAACCCCAAATGGGGTCATGGAGAGTCAGACACGACTGAACAACAAAATGTCCCAGGCACGGCACTCAGCACTGGGGATACAAAAAGAGGCAAAAGACGGTCTCTGCCCGCAAGGAGGTTGCAATCTAATGGGGGAAGGTAACACACGAAAGGAGGGAGGGGCAAGAGCTCCAGGGGGTGCCTGGCCTGGGGGCAGCTTGTTCTGTGGAGCTGAAACCGGGCAGAGTCACAGATGAGAGGTGGAGAGGCAGGATTGGAACCCAGGGCTTCCTGACTCCATGTCCACCTCTCAGCCCACCATGCTGGAGACCGTAGCTATGGATCCCATTGGTTCAGAGCTGAGGCTGCTCCAACCCTGATCAAATGGGCCTTTCAACCTAGGTCCTCACAGGCTCCTCCCCGGGCCTCCACTGCCACCCACCACACAACCAACTGTGATCGACCTGGTTGGTGGGAGGGGGCATAAGGCAGGGGCAGGAAAGGTCGAATGTGCTTCCCACACAGTGGGCACTTTATAAGCCATGATTCCCTCCCCCTCCCGTTTGGGCATTTAGGTGACACTTCAGTGTTGGCAAAGCACTTTACGAATATTAATTCATTCGATCCTTACAACCACCCTGGGAGGTATGTTGTGAAACTCATTTTACAGATGAGAAAACTGAGGTAGACACAGGGTCCATCACCCAGGGTCTGAGGCTGGATTTGAACGTGGGTTTCCCTGACTCCTGGTCCAGGGCTCTATCCATTGGGCCGCCTTCCTGAATCAATGAGCTCCTTTCGGCTGGACGGTCTTGGACTTGCTTTGCCTGTACGGAAGTACCTGCCTCTGCTGCAGGCTGCCTCCGTTTCTGAGACTTCTCAGCCTGACATCACACAAAGGAGTGAGTGGGCAGAGCTGACATTTGAACTCCTGTTCTTGGACTCCAAGTTCAGCATTTTTTCATCAAGCGCTTCTCTTTTTTTTTGTATTTTGAGAACGCTGTGCAAGCATTTCTTATCTCTGCTAACCCCAATCGAAAAGGTTTTTTTTTAAACACGCAAAATAAATAAGTAGAATCTAGCAAAATGAATTCTCACATTGGCCATGTGTAGGTGGGTCTCATTTCTGCATTTTCAGTCCATCAAGTCTCGTTCATCTTTAGATATTTGGACTTGGGGTTTATCTTTTTCCCCCCTTTCTTTATTTTTTCAACATTCACTTTTATAAGGTTTTGAGTCCCTTCCTCCCTTCCCCCTCCCCCCTCCCCCCTCCTCCCTCCCCAAGAGGGCAAGCAATCTGATATAGGCTTTACATGCCCAATCATATTAAACATATTTCCACATTAGTCATGTTGTGAAAGAAGAATCAGAACAAAAGGGAAAAACCATGAGAAAGAAAAAATAAAACAATGAGGAAACAGTATGCTTCCATCTGCATTCAGACTCCATAGTTCTTTCTCTGGATGTGGACAGCATTTTCCATCATGAGTCTTTTGGAATTGTCTTCGATCCTTGCATTGCTGAGAAGAGCTAAGTCTATCAAAGTCAGTCATCGCACAATGTGGCTGTTACTTTGTGGAATGTTCTCCTGGTTCTGCTCATTTCACTCAGCATCAGTTCATGTACGTCTTTCCGGGTTTTTCTGAAGTCATCCTGCTCATCATTTCTTACAGCACAACAGTATTCCATTACATTCACATGCCACAACTTCTTCAGCCATTCCCCAATTGATGGGCATCCCCTCAATTTCCAATTCTTTACTACCATAGAAAGAGCTGCTATAAATGTTTTTGTACACGTGGGTCCTTTTCCCTTTGTATGATCTCTTTGGGATACAGCCCTAGAAATGCTATTGCTGGGTGAAAGGGTATGCACATTTTTATAGCCCTTTGGGCATAGTTCCAAATTGCTCTCCAGAATGGCTGGATCAGTTTACAAACTCCACCAACAATGTATCAGTGTCCCAATTTTCCCACATCTTCTCCAGCATTTATCATTGTCCTGTTTTGCCATGTTGGCCAATCTGATAGGTGTGATGTGGTACCTCAGAGTTGTTTTGATTTGCATTTCTCTAATCAATAGTGATTTAGAGCATTTTTTCATATGACTATAGATAGCTTTAATTTTTTCTTCTGAAAACTGCCTGTTTATATCCTTTGACCATTTATCAATTGGGGAATGACTTGTATTCTTATAAATTTGACTTAGTTCTCTATATATAGGGCAGCTCTTTTTGTGGTGGCAAAGAATTAGAAATTGAGGGGATGCCCATCAATTGGGGAATGGCTGAACATTATGTGATATATGAATGTAATAGAATACTATTGTGCTATAAGAAATGATGAGCAGGGAGACTTCAGAAAAACCTGGAAAGACTTGTATGGACTGATGCTGAGTGAAGTGAACAGAACCAGGAGAAGGTTGTACACAGTAACACTGTGTGATAACTTACTTTGATAGACAGCTCTTCTCAGCAATGCAAGGATCTAAGACAATTCCAAAAGACTCATGATGGAAAATGCTATCCACATCCAGAGAAAGAACTATGGTGTCTGAATGCAGATTGAAGCATATTATTTGCTTTCTCTCTCCTTTTTTTTGTTTCTGCTTTCTTGTGGTTTCTCCCATTGGTTCTAATTCTTCTTTACAACATGACTAATGTGAAAATAGGTTCAATATGAATATATATGTAGAGCCTATATAAAACTGCACGCTGTCTTGGGGTGGGGGAAGGAGAGGGAGGGGGAGAAAATTTGAAACTCAAAATTTTATGGAAGTGAACGTTGAAAACTAAAAAAAAATTAATTAAACAAAAAAATAAAGATTATATACAGTGAGGTTAATGCAAAGTGATGGAGGGCACTCAGATGGCTACAGGGGAAGGGGGTACTGCTGTGGTTTGTCCTTCCTTCTGAAGAGGCCCATGTCATGAGAGATGTGATGCCGAGACTTGAAAGTGAATTGGATTTAAGTGAGGCAGGGCTGTGTAAAGTCACCAGCCTCACTTTCTCCTCCAGAGCCATCTGGGTCCAGGGACCAGATATGGATCCGGACGACTGGAGATGGTCCTGGAAGGGGGACTAGGATAGGTCTCTAGTAGGAAATGATATTTGAAAGGAGATTCCAGGAGGTGTTGGAGGAGAAAGAAGAGAGGAGGGGAAAGGGAGGGGGAGGGGAGGAAGGAAGAGAGGGGGAGGGGCTCAGTGCCCATACTCCAGGGGTAGATAAGACCCAAGCCCTTTGGGGTACCCCCCCCCGGGGGTCAGCAGAGCCCTGAGCCATGAAGAAGCCTGGGAAGATGGGACTGATTGAGAGGTGGTCATGGAAAGACGCTGCTTGACTGCGTGTTTGTTTTAAAGGTTTTGTTTTTTCTTTTTTCTGTGGGTGGGGCGTAAGGGAGAGAGCACAGAAAACTATAAGCCCTGGAAGGTTGGCTGGCTGGGACTTTAAACAACAACTTTTAATATGTAATCCTAAAGGTCATAGGGAGCCACGGAAGCTTCTAGAGCTGGAGTGGTCTTCCCCTTAATAAACGCTGGGTGATTGGACGGCTGGGTCACACGCTCCGCCCATCCGCCAGGTTTCTTCCCGCCTTCCTCCGAGATCACCCAAACAAGCTCTCCTCCAGCACGTGGCGCGGCTCAGGGGGCTGGGGGTGGGGCCTTGAGGACGCGTCTGGAACGAGCCAATGAGCAGCCGCGAGGGGGAGACGAGCGGGGTCCAGACTGTGGACTCCGCCCCAAGGGGGGGCCTGGAGTGGGCTCGGTTTGTCCAGTAGCCAATTGACTTCTGTATAGGGAGCGGGAGGCGGGGCCCAGAGAAAGCAACTGAGAGCTAAATCAGAAGGGGCGGAGCAATCCTGAGGAGGCTGGACGAAGCGTGAGGTGGGGGAGGAGGAGAAGCGGGCGAGGGGCGGAACCGGAACGTGCACTAGCCAATCAGGTGGCCCGAGCGTAAAGGCAAAGGAACGAGGCGGTTGTGGGCGGAGCCGGGAGGGGCGGGCCTTGTTGCCCCGGAAGCAGCGTGGCTTCCGGTCGGGCCCGCGGATTCCCGGCGGCTGAGGCGGCTCCCTCCCGCCCTCGAGTTTCTGAGACAATGTTTTATCACGTGAGTGCCGCGGGGCGGGCGGCTGGCGAGGGTGGGGGGCGAGGCGGAGGCGCGGGTCTCGAGCCCCGAGCCCGGTCCCACCGCACGGTCCCCGCAGATCTCCCTGGAGCACGAGATCCTGCTGCACCCGCGCTACTTCGGGCCGAACCTGCTCAACACGGTCAAGCAGAAGCTGTTCACCGAGGTGGAGGGCACGTGCACGGGCAAGTGAGTGAGGGGCGGGAGCCTTGAAGGCCGCGGCCAGGCCGCCCACCTACCCCTGGCGATCAGTCGTGGGACTTGTGCTCCGGGCTGTGGGGAAAGAGGAAACGAGCACTTAGTGGGCGCCTACTGGGTGCCGGGCGCTTTGACAGATGGCATTACCCCCGTGGGACAGACGGGGAAACTGAGGCTCAGGGTGGCGCAGGGAGAAAGTGATGGGATCTGTAGAATCCTGGAGGGAGAGAGAGACAAGGCCCCCAGGGACCGTGGAGCCAGGATTTGAACTCGAGCTCTCTTCCGAGACCTTACATGAAACACCTGGAAGGCAGTGACTGAGAATGGAGCAGATCATCCAGGGTCTTGACTTGTCTTACAGCCAAGTGGGCAGAGGGACCCTGGGCAAGTCACTTCACCCCGTCTGCCTCAGTTTCCTCATCTGTCAAACGGAGATCATCATAGTGCCTACCTCCTGACCACTTGGAAAGCGCTTTATGAACTCTAAACCACCACATAAATGCTAGCTGTTGGTGTTCATTGTTGTGACTACCCCTCCCCCCGAATCCCCCTTTTCTGGACTGTTCTGAACCAATGTGCGCTCGTCTCACTGGCCTTTGAGACACCAGGGTCGCATCTAGGCCAGAAGGAGGGATGGGGAGAAGACTTTATCAGTAAGGTATGGGGGATGATGAAGCAAAGGGTACACGGGCCCTGCCCTCAGGACGTTTACAGCCTGGGGAGGAGGGAGAACTGGACACAGACACATATGGTGACCTCTGACCTTCCTGCAGTTCCTTAAAGTTTGCAGAATACTTGATATTCTTCATTTGATCCTTAAACATGTTGGGTGAGTCCCAGAGATATTGTTATCCCTATTTTGTGGACGGAAAGAGGCTCAGATGAATACTTGTTCAGTCTTGCACGCCTGTCCGTGGGGTTTTCTTGGCAGGGATACTGGAGTGGTTTGCCATTTCCTTCTCCAGTGAATGAGGGCAAACAGAGGTTAAATGACTTGCCCAGGGTCACCCAGCTAGACAAGAGTCTGAGGCTGGATTTGAACCCAGGTCTTCCTGCCTCCACTGTACCATCTAGCTATCTCTCAGATAGTAGTAAGTGATTAAAGGTGGGATTTGAACTCAGGTTTCTCTTGCTTCCAGAACAAATTAGAGTAGTGTAAGTAGAATAGAAGAATTTCTCACCTTTCTCCCCAAAGGCCAGAAGCCCCAAGTTTCAACATTTTGAGTCCCTCCCCCCAACTCAAGGCCTTGCCCATTGGAGGGCCTGAGAAAACTTTGGCTGGTGATGGAGAACTTGAGTAGGGGCTGAGGGGTTAGCGGCATGCCTTCCCCCTCCCTCTGGAGGTGAGGCTTGTTATCTGCTCTGTTACCTTCATTTACCGAGAAGGAGCTGAAGCCCTGGAGAGGAAGGATACTCACTCCCCAGGCCTGGGCCCTCTCTCATCCTTCCCCCAGCCGAGGCCGGGCAGGAGCCTGGGGTCGCCTGTCAGGTACAGGTCATGCGTCCACTCTGAGGCACTTCTTGTCCTGTGTCCTTCATGCCCTTCCCGGTGGTCTCATGGAGTCACTGAGTTTGGGGTTTTTCTGCTGCTTGTTTACTGGGCTGTTCCACTGATCCCCTTTTCCATGTTTAAATTAGCACCAAATAGTTAAAAGATTACTTCTTTGGAAATAAGGTCATTTGTAGGGGCAGCTAGGTGGCACAGTGTATAAAGCACCAGCCCTGAAGTCAGGAGGACCCGAGTTCAGATTCGACCTCAGACACATAACACTCACTAGCTGTGTGGCTCTGGGCAAGTCACTTAACCCCAATTGCCTTTAAAAAAAAAAAAAAAAAAAAGAAATACAGTCATTCGAGGTCTGAAACAATTGTTTCAGCATCACTTCCCAGCCCAGACTGGCCTCTGCATCAGTCTGTGTTCGCATGTCTTTAGGGTTCTAGGAAAGTAGTGAAAAGAGACCTAGAACCTGGGTTCAACACCTAGCTTCTACAGCTTACCAGTGAGCTGTCCCTCATCCTCCCTCATCTGTGCAGTGTCTGGAGGGCTCCTTGGCTCTCGCCCCAGCAATGCACCTTGTCCTTCCTTCCTCTCCTCCAGGTATGGCTTCGTGATTGCCGTCACCACCATCGACAACATTGGGGCCGGGGTAATCCAGCCTGGGCGAGGCTTTGTGCTGTATCCTGTCAAGTATAAAGCCATCGTCTTCCGTCCCTTCAAGGGCGAGGTTGTAGATGCTGTTGTCACCCAGGTCAATAAGGTGAGCCCTCAGAAGAGCCGGCTAGGGATGGGTGGAGATGGCAGGGGAGACGGCGCTGGGGGGACTGCTTGGGCCCTTTACTTCTCGCCATTCCTCGCCGCAGGTGGGACTCTTCACAGAGATTGGACCCATGTCTTGCTTCATCTCTCGCCACGTGAGTCCGGGAGCCTGGGTGGGGTGAGGAGGAGGCCTCTGTTCACCGATGACATCTGCCCGTTCTCCTTTCCTTTTCAGTCCATCCCCTCGGAGATGGAATTTGATCCCAACTCTAACCCTCCATGTTACAAAACAGTGGATGAGGTGAGAAGGTGGGAAGAGAGGGAGGAGGAAATGAAAGCCACGCAGGGCTGCTGCGATACAGCTGATGAGAGGGGTCTCACCCCCCAGCCTGGATGATTCAGACTTGTGTCTGTCCCTCCGCCCCCAGGACATCGTGATTCAGCAGGACGATGAGATCCGCCTGAAGATTGTGGGAACCCGGGTGGATAAGAACGATATTGTGAGTCGTTCCCTCCCGAGTGACCCAGCTCTGCTGGGGGAGGGGGAGGCTGGGCTATAGGCTGAGCTTCCTAGGGTCCCTGGGTTGGGGTGCTGGGCTTTGGTCGCTCTGACCTCATTCCTTTTCTCTTCTCCTGTAGTTTGCTATTGGCTCCCTGATGGACGACTACCTGGGTAAGGCCTCATCTGGGTCCTTTCTTCTGCTGTTGGGTTGGGGGTGGGCACGAGGCTGCCCTGGCGGTATTGGGCCCAGCAGGGCTCCCGTCACGCCGTTGAGAAGCCTGGCTGCCCCTGGGCCGGACCTTCACTGCTCTTGGTGGAGGATTGCCGATTTTGTTTCTCTGTAATTTGTCACAGGGCTTGTAAGCTGAGTGGAGAGATCCTTGTGCACATTAATTTTGGTCTTCAGCGAGGCGTGACAGGCCTGGGCCCTGCTGCTCTCTGGAAGCCACAGGGAAGAAGGTTCTTTGTCTCTGGGAGACTTCTGGCCTCTTCTGATTCTTTTCAGATGGGCATTAACCTCTTGTAACTCAGATAAGGGCTCTTGGTTCTCAGGGCAGCCTGGAGCCTGTTGCCCTGGATGGAAATGGGCAGTTAATAAATGTCACATTCTGTCAATTCTTTCAGCTGTTGTTCTGTCATGCCGCCCCCCCCAGCCCCCTCCCGTGGGAAGTTCTCTCTGGGGCAGTGACCCTGAGTGATCCGGGACTGCTGAAATGAGTCTTGTTCCACACAGAATTCCCACACTGAGCAGGTCATAGCAGACTGGGCCGCTGACCAGCCAGGCGATTCACTTCCCCTCTGGGCCTCAGTTTCTTTATCTGTAAAATGATGGGGCTAGACTACATGAACTCTGAGCTTCTTCCCAGCCCCAAATCGGTCGCTTGGTGACCCAGAAGGGAACCAGCCAGCGTGGCGCCCAGCAGACTGATGGCCACGCCAGGAGGCACCGTGGAGCGCCCCATGGTGGACGGTATGGATCACATGATGATGTAGAGTCAGACAGATTCAGACCTGGCTGGAAGGCAGGACCGCCAGGCCAGTGCGCCAGGGATCTGTGCCCAGCCCTGGGCTGTCCTAATAGGGATGTCATTGACTTTGACTGGGGTGAAATCTGTGCGTGACAGAGTCAGGAGAGGCGGTTAAGACGTCGGATGGCAGAGTCACGATCCAATGATGGCTTGACATGCTTGACTCTCATACTCAGTAGAATAAAACCAAGTTCAGTGGTGATAAATGCCAAGTTTTGCACGTACACATCAGTCAGTTTTATGGTATAAGCTGGGGGAGGCATGGACAGGCAGTTCTGAAGATGATCTGGGGGCTTCAGTGGGCTACAAGTTAAAGATGAGTCAGAGGCAGACCCTGCAGGGGTCAGACCTTGCCTGTGACTTCGTCTTCCCAGCATCCCGTCTCACCTTATCACCAGCCTCCCTCCTCAGATGAGTAGCCAGACCTCAGCCTCGGGTGTGCTAGTGCCCTGAGCCCTCCGTCCCCTGCTGGGTGCAGCGTGTCCCTGTGGAAGGGTGCAAGGGGCCCTGCCGGGCGTCTTCCGTGTGCCCCACAGCAATATTCACACGAGCACCTCCTGCTGCCTGCCCAGTCTCCCAATCGGCATATGGAGAAGGTGCAGGCCTCCCATCTCCTGCTGTGCCCGTCCTTTGAGGGAACAGGAGTGGTGTCCTCCACTGGATGACAGATGTTCACACCTGCTCACACCTGTCACCCTAATCCACACTACCTCTCCCCACCCGATTCTGTCTTCCCATGCCCCACCCTCCCACCCCAAAGGTTCATCCTGCCTCTACGTCCACGGGCCTTCCCTTTTCCTAGCTCTCAATGGAAGCTGGCTTTCACAGCCTTCTTGGCCACCTTCCCAGGACTGCCTGCACCTTCACTCATTCTACTGGGCTCACTGGTCAAGGCATTCCTTAAGCTCTTCAAAATTGTCTTGACAGTGTTATTGTATAAGTCATTCTCCTGGGCCTGTTCCCTGCATCATCCACATCATACGAGTTTATAGGAATCCTCCCGTGTTTCTCTCCTCTTCATCATTCTCCTGGCACAACCGTCCTATCTGTCTGCCATGTTTTGTTCAGCCATGCCCCAACGGATGGGCGTCCCCATGGCTTCCAATTCTTTGCCACCGCAGAAAGAGCTGCTATACATGTGTTTGTATATGTGAGTCCTTTTCCTCCTTAGATCTCTTTGGGGCTGTTGCCCTCGGTAGAACCTTAACATCTTTCTAAGGGCCTTAAGGGAATTCAGTGAGAAAAACAGAAATCTTGGGACTGGAATGGATTTGTTGTAAGGGTCTGAAGAGGGGAAAGAAGAGGGAGGGTCAAAGGACGAATTCACTCAAGTAGAAAAAAGAAGGGAGAAGAATCTTGCTATGTTGGGGGTAGTGAGAAGGCTTAAGAGGGATGGAGTAAGCAGATATCAGGTGAACCACTCACTAGTAAGTTTGGTACAGACACCACTAAGAAACAAGTGGGAGGATTAGAGATGAGATGGGATGCCGGAAAGAGGAAGTCACAGGCAAAAAAAAAAAAATGTCCTGATCCTGGAGATGGGACTGAAAAAGGAAGAAAAGAAACAAACTGGCCCCCAAGGGGGTGCCTTAGACCGCCTCTGCGACAAGAGGGGGTTGGCTGGACCAACAGGCATGGCAGTGGAATGGAATCTAGTGGGCCGGAAGAAATGACAGAAAATCCTGGGTTGTTGGAACTGCCAGAACCAGAACAATTTATACAATGACAACACCACCAAAGAAAACCACCTAACCCCTGAAGACTGCTCAGTGCAATGCCCAGTTAGCTGTGTCTCTGGAGGCCCTGTGATAAGCAGCTTACCCTCTCCTGTCAGGGAGGGGAGGGACGCAAGGAGCAGAATGAGGCATACATTAAGGGAGGATGCTTGACTTGATGACACTTCTTTGTTAAAAAAGGGTTTGTTGGGGCAGCTAGGTGGTGCAGTGCATAGAGCACCAGCCCTGGAGTCAGGAGGACCTGAGTTCAAATGTGACCTCAGATACATAACACTTACTGGCTGTGTGACTGGGCAAGTCACTTAACCCCATTGCCTAACCAAAAAAAAAAAGGTTTGTTTTTTTTCTCTTTCTCTTGGCTCTTAACTAGGGGGTAGAGTGGGAGGAAAGGGACTTAGCTATGGCGATGCTAAAAGGAGGGGGAACGTTGTAACGTTTTAAAAATTCACAAAACTAAAGGATGTTCAGAAGGAATCACAAGTCAACAGATCAGTTTTGAAATGAATGTGTAGAACTGACTATATGCTTTTTCTATAGCCAGCATTATGAAAGAGATTCACGGTTTCATATAGAAGCCCTTTTTGTGTTGTGCTGTATGAAAATGTACTTTATTGGGGTCCAGATTCCGAGTCAAATTTTTAAAAAGGATACTTGCTAACAGATGGTTCTTTGGGCAGGGTGAGGAGAGGAACAGAGTGGGAAATGTAGGTTATATAAAAATAAAAGATATTAACACTGTACATTGTAATATTCCAACAGACTTTTAAAAGCTAGGTCTCCTGCCCCCAAACTTTCTCACTCTTCTTATACCTTATAGTATTCTTCCACCCAGTGACACTGACCTCCTGGTCGTTCCTTATCATGCCACTCCATTTCCAATCCCTCAGAATCCTTCCTCTGTTGAGTGTTTCCTATTCATCTCGAATAAAGCTTGTTTGTCCACATCCGTTTGCATGTTGGCTCTCCCATTAAATTTTAAGCTCTCTGAGTACGGGGACTATCTTTGCTTTTCTTTGTCTCTCCAGCACTTAGAAAAGTGCCTGGGCACACAGTAGGCACTTAATAAATGCTTACTGGCTGATTCTTTGGAGAACAGTCACCCAACACAGCTCTTTTTCTATCAACCTGGAGTCCCAGTTTGACACTAGGAATCTGGGTCATCTATATTGCAAAATCCTCATGAAAAGTTCTAAAAATACCTTTGGCCTGTAGGGTTTTACATGAAAGTTACAACTTAGGAACAGGGTGTTTATCAAGTAGAAAGAGAAAAACCAATGATATTGAGTGATGCTGGAGTGCGACAGCTCTACCCCGTCCACCCATGGTGCCCTCTAGAATGCCTGTCCTATCATCATAGAGCTTCAAGGATTTCCAGGATGAGAGGTTGCAAATCACAATGATTCCAATGAGTCATTTTTATGAGAATAGACCAATTCTATCCTACATTGTGTCTATAAGAAGTTGGGGTTTGGATATCCTACAGTGCCAGCAAGAGTCTGCATGTTGGTTATTTTGATCACCAACCTTCTAAAGTTAAATTCATAGTAAACTTCTGGGTAAGCCTGCAGACTTGGTTTTAATTTGCAAATCTGAGAGTCTAATAGGTCGTTTCCACAACACTACCTCCTACCCATAAACCCCTTCCCGTTGGGCCTGGTGATACTCATTCCTCCCTAAACTTGGCCCTTGGCTTACCCACCTCTCCTCTAGCTCCCCTGTCTCACTTGTAAGACTCAGGTAACCAGGCCCTCAGCTGGACAGGTTTTTAATTCTTCTCTGATGAACTCTTATCACACTCACCATAGTAACTGGTCCAAACTTTCTCTTCTCAAACCAACAATAATAGAGCCTTCTGTCCCCTCCCCCTCCAGGCAAGCTCCTTTGCCTCGTACTTGACTGAGAAACTAGAAACCAATTGCTAAGAACTATCCTTATTCCACACCTTAAAGGCCCTCTATGTCTTTCCTCACTCTCTCCTCCTTTGTGATAATATCTGAGGATGCCATCCCTTGCCATCATCTCCAGGCCTTGGTCTTTCCAATCATTCCTTCCCTGCTGCCTACAGCCATGCCTACATCCTTAAAATGTCTTCACTGGTTGGAGCCATTCCCCAAGGCATTGTGCTTCTCTTCTTCCAATCACAGCTTAACTTCTAGAAAAACTCCTCAACCTCTTGTAGTCTGGATTCATGCCCCACCACTCCACTGAAAATGCTCTTCAAAGGCTACCAAAGAGATTTTTCAGAAGCTACTACATACAATTTTATACCAGCAAAACAGAAACTTCCAGAGAGGTCAAAGAGTCTCTACAAAAATATAAAATACCAGAACCAGCAACAAAAGAAATAAAACTCTGAATGATACAATCTCGGAGAGAAACTGAATAAACCATAACAAATTGCCAAAGGAAAAAATCATCAGGGCACGTGGATTTACAAGCAGCTCACAGTAGCTCATACCTATGCTACAGATGTTGTTCTAAAAAATGGAGACAAAAAGTCCTTACCAAAGTCCTTTTCTGAGGCAATATGATCTTCATACCCATTCTAGGTAGAGACACAGGCAGAGGAGAACTGTAAGAGGGGTGAGCAAGGGGTAAAGGGCATGGGGGAAGGGGAGGCAGATGATCTCACTGGCAAGTCCTCCCGACCTCCTTATGAGCAGTTCAAGTTCATTTAATGAAGAACGATTTAAGATTTTAAATAAATATGAAGGGTAGAAACTGAGGTTGGTTTCCAGTTCAATCTGGACGTCCAGTAGACACTTTAAACTCAACACAGCCATAACCAAACTCATTATCTTTCTCCCTAAACTCTCCTCTTCTTCTCCCTTCTCAATCACTGTAGAGAGCAACA